AAATCTCTGTAAATGTTCATTGAAACTAATAAAATTTAATAATAATTTTTAAAAAAGAAATCCAAATTCATATGATTCTAATGCCTTTCCTCCCTACCTCCAGAACATTCCAGACTCTCCTAATTATGTTGGTTTTTATAGCCCCCAAAGCTAAGGTTTCCCTGCCACTGTCTGGTCATTATTCTAATATATGTATTTTTAGAGATTATTGTCATCTACTACTATATTACAGAAGTTACTCGTGGTTGTTGTGGTGCTAAACACTGTGACACTGATGTGTCAAATGCAATAATGGTTACCCATGGTGGACAGTGTTTGGTGGAGCTCCCCAAGTAAAACAAGCTGGAGGCAGGAGTGGCATCCACTTCCTAAATAGCTTGCCTCTGGAAACTCTATGAATGTGGAGAAACAATAAAGTTATACAAGTGTTCAGGTCTTTCATTCATAGGGTCATGATGAGTCTTCTATGACTCAATGGCAGACAAAAACTACTACTATATTAATTTTCTCAGTTTGATTTTTATTTTAATGTACCATAAAATTACAATTGCTTCTATTTCAACAGTCTTTGTAATCATGTTTTCGTTAGTCACATGATAGTTTAACAAATTGATTGTTTACAAACTACTTAGCCATTTTCTTGTTACTTAACATTTGGGTTATATCTACTTTGTGACTATTGAAGATTATGCAGTAGTGAAAAGTCTTTGTCCCTGTAGCTCTTGTCTTCTCTTGAATTGTTTGACAAATTTGCAATATTGATATAATTGGATCATTTATACCTAATATGGCTTTTGACACATTATTTGTCATGTTTTTCTTTTTTTAAAAAAATGTACAACAAATTCTTTTTAAAGTATTTTTATTGTGATTTTGAAAAAAGTTTACAGAAAAACTTGGATATCCATTAATTCATTGTTGCATATTTTCCTCCCTATCTCCACCCAGTTCACTTTTCTCTTTTAAAAAAATCATTCAATGTTGCACAATGTCATGTTTTTCAAGAAAGAGTTGAGACAACATACTGTTTCAATAATAAAATTTTTCAAATTCTTTACCCCTTTATTTCTTGTTCCATAAAACGGGACAATAACAGTTCTGAGTTCATCCTGCGGGGGGGG